CAGGCGGTTCTGGAAACCCCGAGACAGGCATGAGGAGCCGCTGGACCCGAGCCCACGGGGAAGCAGAGGGGCCGCTCCCGGAGGAGCCCAGCGTGTGGTTCTCATCCGCCCCTTGAGGGCCAGCTCGAGGCCGACTCCCACCGCCCCCACACCCCACGCTGACCTCTTGACCGGCCTGGTTGCCGTATTTGGTTATAGACTGAGAGCCCCTCAGAGGAGGGGACCCGCAAGGATCCAGGTCCATGTGGGCCCTCCAAGCGGGAGGAGGTGGCGCTGGATGGGAAGTGAGTGTGAGTGTGAATGTGTGAGTGTGAGGGGCGTGGCAGGAAGACGGGGTGTGGCTCCAGGCCCCCGTGAGCAGGAGCCTTGGCCGTGAGCCTGAGCCAGGCGCTTGGCACTGACGAGTGGCTGAGAACCCCTCTCGTGTGTCACATGCTGAACGTGGCTCTGCTCCACCGTGTCACTGAGGCCCCAGCTGATGGGGGGGGGTCCCACGGGGACAGCACCACAGTTTCAACGGGGATGGGGGGAGGCTGCCCAAAGCTGGCCTTGGACATGTCTGCTTGGAAGCACCTTGGGTCGATGCCGTCCACATTTCTGTGTCTGGAACACATCCCACACCAGGCCTGGTGTCACGGGAGGGAGGGCCTCCCCCTCCTTGCAGATGATCAGTGTGCGCTGAGGCAACCCCAAGTGCGGGGCCCCCAGGACCCCAGCCATGCGGGTGCGTGCCTTCCGAGGGGAAGGGAGCTGTCCTTTCCATGGACGTTTTTTCTGCTAAACTGTATTATATTCTGTAGTCACAGCAAGCAAATGAATCACTGTGATACAGTAGAACGTAGCGTCCCTGAGCCACTTTGTGGGTGCGGCTTGGGGCATTAAATGACACACTGTGTGCGGCTGTCACCACCATCCAAATGTTCTTCAAGTCCCCAAACGGACACCACGTCCCCATCAAGTTCTTCACAACACAGAGGGCTTCCTGGGCCCAGAGAGGCCAAGGGCCGTGGTCCCTAGCGTGGGCCCCAGCCGGCGTCCGTCTGTGTCACACTGTGCCCTGTGACTGTCACACTGCGGGAAGGGTAGAGCCACCGCCCTCTGCACACGACATTCCCATCGGAGGTCGCAGCCACACGTTCCTGTCTTGTGCTAATCAGCTCCCGCTGAAGCCGAGTGGGTCCTGACCCTAAGGGGATTCTCCAGGATGTGAGGCCAAGAGGGAAGGGGCTGTCGTCGGGGGGAGGGCAGAGGGGGGGCCCCGTTGGGGAAGGCGTGCTGCGCAGGGAGCTGGCGCTTGGCGTGCCTTCCTGTCTGAGAGCGCGGGACGAGCGGCGGGGGACTGGCCGCCTGCAGGAACCTGGTCTCCAAGCTCTGTCCCCCCAGAATAAACCCCTGAGAGACAAGCTGTTGACAGCCTCAGTTAGAAGCGTCCTGATGCAGCCGTCCCTGTGCGCGGCCCCTCCTGGGGTGCCGTCAGCTCAGGCAGCCCCGCAGACGGACGGAGCTTTACGGCTTTGACCATGCAGTGGCGGCGGGAGGCGGGCGCGCTGCACACGGGTGTTGTCGCTGGGGACGACAGGCGTCCGCAGTCCGAGAGGGAAGCAGCACTCCAGCGAACCTCCTGTGGGATCCCCGCCGGGCCCTGGGGGGCCTCTCCACGGGGGAGGCGGGTGGGGCAGCGAGGGAGCGCCAGGAGCCAGAGCCGGAGGGATGCTCGGTCGGGGACGGGCGGGGTGGGAGACGGAAACCCCAGAAACATGGAATGGCGTGGACCACCCTGTGAGGGTCTGACCGACGGCAGGGACGCCCGCGGGCGTCCTGTGTGCCGGCGGTGTCACACCTGCAGTGCCCTACAGTCCAGGCAGTGCCCTGCAGCGTGCCTCCTGAGCCCACGTGGTCAAATTTTCTGGAAACATCTAAATTGCCCGAATCAACCCTAGGGTTAGGGAGTGATGCGGCCGCAAGGCTGATTGCCCGTGGAACCCCGAGCCCGTGGCCAGGCCTGCGCTCACCCTGTGCTCGGGCTTGCAAGTGTCCTGGGCCCCCGGCGGAGGGAGGGAGGCCACAGGGCCCCGTGAGGCTGGCGTCCCCGCGTGTGGAGGCCAGACGGGGGCGGGCAGCCCAGAGGCGCTGCCTGTCAATTCTGCAGGCGAACACGTAAAACCCCCGGAAGATTAGCAGTCGGGCGTGGGGCCGGTAGCCACGTGTACGCGGGAGAACGGAGTCCCTGTTTCCCCCCGGGGTTCGGAGTCGTGGAGTGACCCTGTTTACCGGAAGCGGGCAAGTGCACAAGCGCTAAAATCACTTCTCAAGTGAGGGCGTGTGAATCAAGGCGTGACCGCGGTGGCCAAGTGCCCCGAAGGTCACTGTGGCCGCGGCAGGTAATGACGCAAACATGTGGGCAGAAGAATCTGCAGAGGGCCGGCCAGGACCCCGCCTTCCTGGGGAGTCTGTGCCACCGGCTCGCGCTCGGGGACAAAGACGCACTACGGATACTGAAATGCTGTACACCCAACACCTGTGGTCTGACAGTTTCAAAGGAAGTGAAAATTACGGAAGACCTAGTACCTGGGTACCAGAGTCCCCGTCCTGCGAATGTCTGGAGCTATGGGGCCCTGGGTGGACCCCAGCACGGGCGGGAGCAAGGGCAGGGTCACGGCCCTGACCCCGTGGTCAGCCCTGTGGCGGCACAAGTGAGCACCGCGAGGGAGGGACAGGTGGACGGTGCAAACATGCCCCCCTCCTGGGAAGTAAGGAAATGCCCAGAAAACTGGTGGAACCGGGAAGGGGACGGATGGGCAGCCCGATCTCGGGGGCTCACTTCCTGGCCACAGGGCGAACCCCATGCGGCTCGCCCTGCGGTGCTCTCCTCCAGAGCCCGGCCGACAGGGCAGCTGCCCTGGGGAACAGTCCCGGCCGCTGGCGGTTTGGTGGGTGCGCGTCCCCACGGGCACTTAAATGCACCCCAGCTGGGAAGCAACATGACATATTGACCAGAGCCGGTTTCACCCTTGGCCACGAAGGGCCCAGAGGTCATCGTCCCATGCCCTCCGGAGGTGCAGGCGGGGCCGTCCCTGGTGCGCACGCCTGCCCCGGCTCTGGGCGTGCCAAGTCAATCCGGCCCGGGCTACTCCGGGCCCACACGCAGCCTCACCCGGAGCACGGAACACACGACCCGGGGCTCGAGAGGCTGCGAGCCCTCACGGGGAGCTCAGACCTCTGCCCAACAACCAGAAAGGACGCCCACGCGAATGGACGTGTCGCCGGGCGGTTCCGGGAGAGCCGATGCTGTAAAGGCCTCAGTTCTTCCTCCAGATCAAGGAGTCTGGGGCTGTCCCAACGTGAAGGTCACGCAGGAAGATTTACAAACACCCGATGAGCTAATCCTGAAGTTCCCGTGCAGAGAGCAGCGGGGCTCCCGGCACGTCGGGGCTTGGGGCGGGCTCTCGGGCCTACCGCGGGGACCCCACCCTGCGTCTCCCTCCACGGCCCCCCTCCTGCAGGGTCTTGCTGTTGGTTTACGACCGTGGTTCACATGAGTTTCTCCCCTAGCAGCCTCCGAAGAGAGGACGGGGAATAAACACACGTCTGAAAACATCTTTCCTTGACCCATTGGGTGTTTTTTGTGTCACTTCCTTTAAATACCCCTCCCCCGCTTGTGTTAGATCTTTTTTCCTGAAAATTCTCTGAGGCAGATGATGGGCGTCCTGGGAAGGCCCTCAATGTATTTTATTTTTCCTCAATTTCTCAACTCACTGTCTGTTTTGCCTTCTAGGAGATTTTACAAATTTTATGAATTCTTCTAATCCTTTCATAGAAAATTTTTATTTGACAACCATTTATTCTGATTTTACAGACACTTCCTAGGGAGTGACGTACCAGTGTGGGCCTGTGCTGCACTAGAGATCACAGGCCCTTATAGGCCACTCCTGGAGACTAGGGCCTTTAGTGGGGAGTGTCCCAGCGGTGCTCCCGGGAGGACGGCCCACCAGAGCACCCCTCAGGGGCCACCATTTCACTGTGGATTTTGCTCCCTCATGAGTCCTCCTCCCCAAGGACAGCATTGCATTAGGGAAAGTGACCTCTTGAAAACGATATCCCTCAGGGATGGGACAGCATCCCAGGGCAGATACCAACGCTCCCCGCCATGGGTGACGTCCCCGCAGGGGGCCTTGGCTGGGAAGGGAGTGAGAACTATTTGCCGGCTCCCCTCCACCCTGTGGCTCAATGCAGACTGGGTGCTCTGCTTTAGCCCAAGTATTTCATTCCTTTACATGATGCCCCTGGGCTCCCAGGTGGTTTCGGTCAAGGGGAGGGCCCAACCGGCACCCAGCGGCCCACGATACCTACAGGCAGGTCCCCAGAGCCCTGAGGGAGGGTGGAGCTTAGTGTGGGCCGCTGGGCACAGTGGGCTCCCTGGGGGCACCCCATCCCTCCACAGGGGTAGGGAGGCCTTCTTGGGCTCAGGGCAGTTCTGGGCCTGGCTGCTCACCAACACGGCAACTCCATTCAGGTCCCCTGTTTCCGAAGCGCACACGGCGCGAGCATAACGAACGGCCCTTTGCCCTTCTCCTCCAGAGCACGGAGGTGGCCAGTTCTGTCCCTGTGCCCTCCCACCCCGAGTCCCCGTTTCTCCAGAAAAGGCTCACCCGGCTGTGTGTGAGGCCAGAGCAGCGGCGGGCGGTGGTGGGCAACCGGCCCTGCACGGATGTGAGCCTCCATCCAGCACAGAGAGGACAAGGCTCGGCAGCCCGACGGGAGCCCAAGGTGGGGGCGGCAGGCAAAGGGCGAGAGGGCATTCCAGCAGCAGGGACAGCCCTGGGGCGCCGGCCCAGGCGGAGCGGGAGGTGCGAGGATGACCCGCGAAGGTGCTCTGCTCCTCAACCGGGGCGGGGGGTGGGGGGGTACCGACCGCCCAGCTGCGGCTGCGCCACGGCTGTCCTGCAGGAGATGGAGAACCCCACCTTCTGTCACGTCACACAGAACACCCGACCACCTTGTGATCCAAAATCAAGGCTGTATTTATCTTCATTGATTGACACGAGAACTCAGTGTTTAAAACCACCAGAGTCCACAAGGGACACACGGGTCGAAAATACAGAACAGAGCAGATGGCCGCAGGCGGTCCGACCAACGAGGCCCGAGAGCGTAGCGGACACGGGCGCGGATGCCAGGGAACAGAGAGGGACGTGGAGGACGGGACAAGGGGATGCTCGGGTGGTTATGAAAGCAAAACCGAAACCAAAAGGAGATCATGCCAAGGCCTCCACGGGTGGAGGGGCGCGCGCAGGGACATCTGCTGACGGCCTGCGCGCAGAGAGAGTGGACAGAAGCTACTATTCCTGTTTGCAGTGAACCTCCAGACTCTCCACTCCTAAAACTCTGCTACGGAGTCTGAGAACGCAACGGGCACGGGGGTCCACAGAACTGTCCTTGCGGCCAGAGCCGCGGGTCCGAGGAGGGCTGGGCCCGGCTCACCCGGCCCGCGGGAAGGGACGCCCCCGGCCGGCCGCCCCGCCCCACCCCGGAGCGCTTGCATAGTTGAAGATCTGCAACAGTGAAGCTTCTGAGCGCGTGCAGCGACAGCGAGTGGGCTTGCGGCCAGGTTACACCACGAGCCAGAGAGGTTTCTAGAAACTGCCTTTTATAAAGTCTACCTAGGTTAAGAATTTAATAACGTCATATATTCATATTAACAGACTATTTACATATTTCATTTGTTTTTTTTTTAAAAACAAACCAAAAAAGAAATCTTCTTATGCTTCTGCATAAGGCAAAAAGAGTTTTGTACAGTATTATTATGATTTTAATATATATCTGTAACTTCGGTTCCAAGTACCAAGGGAGGGCCAGGCGGGCCCTGAGTGGGGGCCTCACAGTGCGCTGGACAAAATGACCGTTTTTTTTTTCTCCATAAATAAGACAAAAGATCCTGGGGTTCTAGAGCGGGATCTGAGGCCTTTACATTGCAAATCTGAACTGAAGATAGAAAAGCAAAGTTTCTTTTTTGTTTCTTTTTAAATGTCTAAAGAGCACAAAATTGAAAAAAATACAAATCTATTAAAAACGCTTCTCACCTGTGGGAAAAGATGTACAAACGTGAATTCTCCAGTAGCCTAATTCCAAGCTCGGAAAACAAAAGATCACCCCCAGCAAAGACTGTGCAGACTTCGGGTGTTAAGCAAGTGTCACCCCAGGGCTGACGGCGCTGTGCTTAGGTTCTAGAAACGTCCGCGTAAAAAAGTTTACAGCAGTGCATTTGTGGAAGGGTCTCTGTACACGGGGCGCGGGGGCCCGCGGGGACTACCGTGCCTCCACCTCCTGGGGGTTGCGGGATGGGGAATAGTCACGCGCCTCGGGCCCGTGGCCCCCGAGCGGCGTAGTCCTGCTGCGCGGCGGCGGCCCGGGGGGCGTGGGGGGCCCGCCCGCGGCCACCAGTGGGGGCGGCGCGCCCAGCGCAGCGGCGGCGGCGGGCGGGGTCCGCGCCAGGAGCCCGTTGTGCAGCGCGGCGGCCGCGGGCCCGAGGCGCGGGTAGTGCAGGGAGCCCAGCGCGGGCAGGAGCGCAGCGCTGTCCAGGTGCGCGGCGGCGGGGGGCAGGTGCACGGCGGAACCCAGGTGTGCGGCCCGTGCGCGCTCCAGCTCCTCGCGGCGCGCCTCCCGCAGGCGCTCTGGGCTGTAGTCGTGGGGCTCGCGGTCGCGGTAGGGGCGCTCGGGGGGCTCAAAGAAGGTGGCGGGGCCCGGGGCGGGGGCGGAGGCGGGCAGGGCGCGCCGGGGCAGCTCCAGGCCGCGGTAGGCGTCGCGCAGGGGCTCCCACGTGAAGCCCAGGCGCTCGCGGGTCACCGGGCTGGGCCCGAGCTGCAGGGGCGCAGGGGGCGCGCGTGGACGCTCGGGCGCTGGGTGGAGGCCGGCCCCTGGGGGCTCGAGAGCATCACTGTCTTCCCTGCGCTCCTCCTTGACCTTGACGTCACCCTGGGGCCGCTCGGCGGGCGCCTCCGGCGGCTTCCCCGGCTCTCGGCCCAGGAGGCCTGCTAGGCGTAGGCTGTCGCCCAGGGCCGCCTTGCTGTAGGGAGATGGCGGGCGGGCGGCCAGCTTGGCGCCGTCCTCCTTGGCAGGAGAGCGGCTCTCCTTGACGCGGGGCTCGGCCTCGCGCTCGGCAGGGCCCCCAGGCCGGCCCGGTTCACTCTGGCCACGGAGCAGGAAGCTGCTGACTGGGGGGCCCAGAGGGGCTGCGGGCGAGGCCCGGCTCAGCATGCGTGTCTTCTCCAGGAGGTCCCTGGGAGCGACAAGACAGACACCTTCACTCAGCCCAGGGTCAAGAGGGACTTCATGTAACAGGGTGCTGCTACCAAGCTCCCCCTCTATGACCTCCAGATCCTTGGGATGTTTGAGGGGGTCCCGTAAGCATCCTGTCAACACAGGGGTACAAGCCCACATCCTCACAGGGCCCACAACACCCCATGTCTTTTTTTCCTTTGATAAACTTGGAAGCCAGCTTTGCAGCAGGACCCCAGAGTCTCCCCAGACCCAAGCCACTAAGCCCCTGAGGCAGGATGGAGGCAAGTTCATGCCGGGGAGGCCCCCCCCGCAGTATGCCTCTGAGCCGTTTGCCCCGAGTCCGGTGCAAGGAAGAGGGCATGGCCCCCAGGGCCTTGGCTGGGGATCCCCAACAGGAGGAGGAGCGAGGCGGGGAGCCTCCTGCTCCTGTCCACTCCATCGGCCGGCCACAAAGGAACCACCTTAGGCTCCAGACTCTGCTGCTGACTCTGGAACAGGACTCCCACCTGCTCCGCCAACCTGGTGCTGCTGCCCAGGGGCAGCCAGCCTCAGCCCCGTCCTCCCAGCCAGGGGACTCTCCCACAGGTGCCCCTCCCAGAGCCAGACCCCACCTTGAAGATGCAGATGGCTCCCTGCAGAGGCCCCGCTGGGGTCACCAAGCTGAGTGGACCTTTCCTGTGGCCACCTCCAGGGCTGGATCCGCCCTCTCCGTGGCCCCTGCCCCAATCCTGGGGTTCTCCATGGGGCCCTCTCTCTACTGGCCTTCCCCAGCCCCGAGGGTACGGCAAGGGGGATCTCCACACAGAGCTGAGGCCGGTGCCACTCACCGCTCCTCCCTGCCCTTGTCCGGCTCTCGGTCGTGATTGGTCAGGGCTGAGACCCGACCAGGGTCCACAGGCTTGGGCCACGGGGGTGGTGTGGGAAAGGAGGGCGGCCCTCGGTGCAGTCGGTTCCAGGCCTCGTGGGGGCTGGGCAGGCCATGCAGTGCGGAGCTCTCCTTGGGGGCGAAGACGCCGCTGCCCTGAGCTAGAGAAGGGTGGGAATGTGAGGCCAGGACAGCATCCTCACCCCGAGTGAGGGCGCCCCGTGGAACCGCAGGGCTGCTGGGGAGAAGCACACCATCCCTGCATCCCAGGGAGGTGGGCGGAGGGTGACAGCCAGCCCAGGGTCAGGGTGTAGCCCAAACCCGCACCAGGAGCCCATGCGCGCCGGCGGGGGAGCGGAGGGCACGCTTGGCGGTCACTCACTCAACGTGTGGCTCCCCAGGCCTCCGAAGGCGCTGCTGCCCAGGCTCCCCAGGCCCCCGAAGGTCCCTGGCCTGCTGAAAGGGTCTGTGGGGACAACCGGGGCTTAGGGTTCTTTGCCTACACAGTCTGAGGGCTGTTCTATTTTTCAGGGTCCCCTCCCCGCTCGTCTGCATCCTCTCCCAGTCAGACTTCAGAAACCGGAGGGCACCTACCTGTCAGGTGACCGGTGGTCAGGAAGCTGCTGGGATGGGCAGACGGTCCGAACGGGTTGGCAGTGGGATGGGCAGCACCTATGAGAGCAGGTTGACGGGAGCCTGATAGACCTGGGGCCTCCTGTTTGTGGGTCATTCCTAGAGCGGGGACACCCCAGCTTCCTCCAGGGGCCTGTCTACATCTCCTGCCGGAAGCTCACGAGGGAGAAGGGAGGGATGAAGGCACTGGGGTCCCCAGAGAACAAGGTGTAAAGGCAGCCCCTTGAGGCTGCACCAAACATGCTGGCCCCGGAACTTCCAGCTGGAAGCTAAGAAGCGATCTTGGTGACTGAAGGGTTGCTGAAGAGAGTGCGTCTCCTCCCACAGCGTCCCCCAGCCACAGCCCACAGGTGTCATCACACAGTCTGGCCCTGGCTGGGCTGGAGCCTGGCCCGATGGCACCCCCAGGGTGGCCGAGTTGGGCCCTGAGCAGGGGCTGTGGGGTCGGGGTCCGGCCCGGTGGCCACACACGCCGGCCACTGCAGAGGGAGGATTCCCAGTGCAGACCAGTGACGTGGCCACGTCCATCTCGCCAATGTCCCCGGCTTGGGGGACACCGCAGTGGAGAGTTTATGCTTGTACTGGGCCTCCGCAGCCAGCCCCACTGCCGCTCCCACGCGGTTTCCCATCTCCTCGGGCTCCCCAGCACACAACCAGCCACTCTCCCAAAGGATTCACAGGCCAAAGTCATCAAATGGAAACTTCGGAAGAACTAGCTTGGCCTGGCGCTAATGGAAACGTGTCCCACGTGTGCAAGGGGGCCACACTGCTTTAAGAGCACATGCAAGAGTGAGCCGACAGGCAGGCTTCCGGCTCGAGGAATCGGGAAGGGCAGCGGCGCAGACGTGGGGAGAAACAGCCACGCCAGAGCAGGGCTGAGCCCTGACGAGGGACGAGATGCCCAGCAGACAGGGCAGGCCACTTGTGTCCGTGACTGCGGGGCCTGGTCCAGGTGGGTGGATGGCACCGCAGGGCGGGGATTCCAGGCTCCACACAGCAGAGGAAGCCACAGCTCCCTGGGCCCCACAGCGAAAACACGTCCTGCCGACTCCACGGACTGAAACCCAGATTGGGGGGGACCTCTGCGTTCTGAGGGACACCCCCATCCAGAGGCCAACGAGGAGCTGAAGCCAGGGACTGGCCAAGTCACGCTGTTTGAGGCCAGCCTGCGTGGTCTTGTCCACACGCAGCACGCCAGCCCGCTAACAGGGCCCACCCTTACTGGGTGCACGGCCAGGTCGAAGGGGGCTGCAGGGGGAGGAGAGCGTGTGTGCACATGAAGGAGGGCGGTCAGGGAGGACTGAGAGGGTGACACCTGGTCCTGACAGCTGGGAAGGGAAGGATTGGGCCCCTCCAGAGATGGGGTTGCTGCTCACGCCGCAGGCCCGGGCGGCTGGCCTCGGGAGCACCTGCAGGCGAAGCTGCGAACTCAGGGCTCAGGCTCTCAGCTCCTTGCACAGCAGTGTCTTGTGGCCTTGCTCCCTTGCACAGACACCGGGTCGTGCGGGGCGCCTGCTCTCCTTCTGGGAGTCTGGTTTGGGTGTGTGCACAGACAGGAGCCATGTGACCGCCCCCAGCCGGAACCCACGTGCTGGGTCTGCGAGTGTCCCAGCAGCACAGCACATGGCGTGGGTTGTCTCAGTTCCTTGCCGAGGAAATGGGGTGCGTCCTGGGCCTCCCCAGGCCAGCCCTCAGCCGTCCTGCACCTGGCTTCCAGCTGATCTCCTGCCGCTAGACTTTCCCTTTCTCCCATTCTGCTATGTCCCTTCCCTGGGATGCAGCTTAGCCCTGCGGGTAACCTATGCTGAGTCCTAGAAGGGCTCCCCGTGATCCCTGAACCTGGCGGTGGTCCCAGAGACCCAGCACAAGATGGTGCCGGAAAGACGTGTGGATTCTTGGGGAGCTGTGCCAAAACCCTTCCCGGGAGTCCCGGGAGGGAGGCTAGAGTGGAGGAGGGGCAGGCCAGACCCAGGGGAGGACTCCTGCCCTACCTTGGGTTGGGCAGGGAGACAGCAGAGGCGGGAGCTTGGGGGTGGAGGGGGAGCCCAGGGTGGGGGGCATCACACGTGCTGGCACCGAGATGGCGGGTGCTGGGACTGACCCAGCAGCATCGTGGGAGAAACAAACCCGCGGATGTGTCTGGAACTGTCCTGTCGGAGCACCAGCCCAGGGAACAGGCAGGACCTCCCCCTTCCTTGTGCTCTGGACAGAGTGCCTTACCCGAGCCGGAGAAGAGGGGCCGGGCCAGGTCCTGCGGGTAGTGGAATCCGGTGAACATGCCTGGGGCTGGGGGTCTCCCGGACAAGTCCAGCTTGGCGCCCACCTCCAGCTTGTGGGGGTCCAGCTGCACCTGCTAAGAGGGACGGAGCATGTGCAGGGCCCGCCCGTCCTGCCCGCCACCGGCCGCCAGCGTGTGATGTCCTCCTTCCTGCTGGGGCGGAACCAGACCCTCGTCCTGACCCAGGAGAGCCCGGTGCTGTCAGGACAACGTGTGACGCGCAGAGGGGGCGGCTCTCACCTCCTGCGGCCTATGAGAGCCGCGCATCTACACCAGAGCGCCTCAGTGCAGACACACACCACGCTTCCGTCGGTAACAGTTTCCCTGTGCTACAATTTCGCAGAACGGGACTGACAAACCCAATTCAGGTACGGTCGTTTTGAACATGCTTCAAGCTTCCGGCGACTGAATCTGGCCTCACTATTAGCATTTAAGTTTATTCCATAAAACAAACATCCTGTGGCTCCGCTGTGACGACCGTACGAGGCTGATGGGGTGCGCAGGCCCTCCGGGGCGCCCTGTCCTCGCACTGGGGTGCTCTGGCGCACGTGGGGGCCGCCCCCAGGGCTATAGCCGAACATTCAAACATTCTCAGAGTGAAACACACGGTGTTTTATCCTAGGACCCTGTGGACCTCTCATAGTACATGTTGGCGTGATGACTGCTGAAAGCCATGCACGGAGGTGCGTGTGACCCGAGATGACAACAGAGGGGTCAGGACCCTTTGGGGATGGGGGTTGGGGGCTGGGGCCCCGGCTGCCCCTGTTCTGGTGTGGGTAAGGGCCTCTCCTGCCTCTGCCTGCCCTTCCCTGGCATCCCCAGCCCACAGTGTGTCCCCAGAGTGCCTGTGGCTGCCTCTTCCCCGTGTTGTCTGGGTTATTGCCTGGGGGCCCACCTGGGCCACCTGCCCCTCCCAGACACACGCCACAGGTGCTCACTAAATGCTCGCAGGAAAGGTCACGTGGACGCCTCAAATGATGTTGGCGGGACCAAAACAGAGTCAGCTCCTCCCAAACCCCTGCCTGGGGGCCTCCTGGGCAACCCCCCACCCTCTGGACTCCTCCCTAGCCCTGTCCCATGTGCCAACACAAGCAGCACGTGGAGACGCCTGCCAGCTGGCAGGACGCAGGACGGGCTCACCTTGACCTTCTGCTGATGGTGGTAGATCTGCCAGGCGATCTGCACGTGCACCGCACACCACCTCCCAGGTTTCTGTGACAGGGCGGGCCACACACTCAGCTTCACGGGGGGCCTCTTCCTGCTGCCTCCCCGGGTTCCTGCTGTCCCGGGCACCCCTGGGGCCATCCCTGAGGCCCCCGCCATCCTCCCCAGCCACGAGCCTCCCTCCCAAGGACACAGGCACACATGTGCGGGTGTGTGCCACACACTCACCCTGACTGCGGTCCGGTAGGGGTCGGACACCTGTCAGCGATGGAGAGGGAAGGGTGAGGTCCCGGCTCTGCGGGTGGCCCTGCTGCTGCCACCACCCTCCACGAGGGGGACTGGGCTGGCTGGGTGACCCCAGGGAGGGAAGGGTGGGCAGGAAGGCCACCTACCCCAGGGGCTTTCTGGAGGAGGGTGTGAACAGCACTGGCCCGGCCCGTTACCTCGATTGGGTTTGAAGTCTGAAGGGAGAGAACAGGATATGACAGAGCTGCAGAGCCTGGGACTAGACCGAGGACCCCAGGAGGCCCTGCACCCTGCCACCCGCGGGGGCCTGGCTTCCCACACCCTTTGCCCAAGGATTTCGGCAATGGGGGGAAGGCGCTGTGGATGAGGACAGGCCCAGGTTAGGGGGCTGAGGCAGCCCTGCTCTGGGGGGGATGAGAGGAAGAAGCCCATTCCTCTCTGGGGCCTCCTGTGACACGGATGGCTCCACACTGACCACCCCACAAAGACCTCCCCTCTGCCCCGATGCCCCCCATGCCAGCCTCCAGCACGCCCAGCTGAGGAACAAGGACACACGAAACCTGACTACTGTTGCTCCCTGGTGTCCCCCCAACCCCGGCCACCTAGTCTGGGGGTCCAGCTGAGGCCCCTCAGGGAGTATGGGAGCCCCCAGCCCCCTCCGGCCGCGGGGCTGCACAGCCACATCCCCCCGGGATGGCTGCCTTGCACCAACACCAGGACCACAACACACACAACTGCACAGCGGGGCTCCCATGTGCCCTGAACCCCGTCCCACCCCAGGCGCAGCTGGTACCTTGGGCTGAAAAGCACCCTGTAGGGACCCAAAGGGGCCTGGGTGTGGGAGCAGGGTGGGCAGTCCGGGGACGGCAGAAGAGAAGGACGGGAAAAACTGCAAAAAAAAGAGGGGGACGTTCCAGGGCCCCAGCTGGGAGCAGGGACACCCCGGGTGTGGGCGCTGGGCCTGGCCCCTGCGCTATGGGGAAGGGAACCTGACAAGGCCTCTGGGCAGGCGCGGCCCCACCTTTTAACCGTGACCTCTAGCCCACTGACCGCAGAGGGACACTCACGCTGGAATGTCGGAAGTAGGGGCTGTCCAGCTTGGGTGCGTACTTATCAAACTGGAAAGGAAAAAAGCAGAGAGTGAGGCCTCCCCGAGCCGTCCCACACCCTCCACTGGGCCCAGCACCCGCACCCCTGTTGGGCCAGGCAGAGGTCCGGAAAGCTGTCCTGCTTCCTGTGGCTGCTGGCCTGCAGCCAGCTGACCCCTGGGGTCCCTGAGGACACTGGCCCAATGCCCTGAACTGGCCTCTTGGGGCCCAGCTCACAGACTGGGTGGGTCCCCTCCCTGTTCTAATGGTCCCACGGTGGGCAGTGCAAAGGGGCCCATCTGTGTCATCCAAGTGTCCTGGCTGATGCCTGGGAGGGAATGCTGCTGTCATCACAGGGGGCATGGAGCCCAGGGCTGATGGTCAGCGGTCACATGTACCCAGGCCCCCAGCAGCCTGGCCCTTCACAGAGCAAAGCCCTGGTGATAGACTCCGCCCCACACGGTAGATGGCTCAGGAGATGGGGGCCCACGACCTAGGGCCCATGGGAGGGGTTCCTGGCTTCCTGGCCCCTCAGTCCTGTCTCAGTCTCCAGACCACTGTCCTGTTGCCGACCGAGATGCTGAAAATCCTGTGTGGCTAAGATTGGCCCCAAGGCCGTGTCATCCGTGAGCAGACGTGGGGCACCCGCCCAAGCCCAGGACAGAGAACCTCACGACGGGACCCACAGAAGGACCAGAAGGAGGGGCCAGATGGACAGACGGACAGAAAGGGACGGCGTTGGCCGGCGTGCGTGCGGAGAGCGTCTGCGTGTGCCTGCTGTGTGTCCCGCCCGCCCGCCCGCCCACATGGGGGGCCTACGCACCGGCGGGGGTGCGGCGGGTGGCAGGAGCGGCGTCGGGGGCAGCCCCGCAGGGAAGGGGGCAAATGTGTGTTGGTGCTGGTGTGTGTGCTGGTGTGTGTGTTGGTGCTGGTGGAACTCCGCCCGCAGCAGAGCCCCCGGGCCCAGGGGAGCGCCGGGCCGCTCAGCGCTCTGGACCAGAAAACGCGCGTTCAGCTCTTGCCTGAGCAGCTCGTGATCTACAAGAGAAAAAGAGAGAGAGACGGAGAGGCACGTCGGCCGTGGGCTCCGGGCGGGGCGAGGCGGATAGTCACCTGGCACTGGTTTCGGCAGGCCAAGCCGTGGTGGCCGCTCGCTAGGTGCGGGCCCCAGGGTGGAGGTAAGAGAGGAGCCTGTGACCAAGTACCAATCAGAATCCCCGAATGAGGCTGGCAATACATGATTGGCTGGCTGAATGAGATCAACAGGCTGGCATCTAAAGGCAAGAGAGAACACCGTGAGCCCCCGGTGCCCCCTGTCCCCCCAGCCCAGCGACCTGGTCCCATCCCAGGGCACAGGGCTGCCCGCACCTGCGTTGGGCTGCTCAGGATTTTACAGAGAGCGTGGAGACAAGACCCCTGGGAGAAATCTTCGATGACCCCACACTTGGCCTTGAAGGGGCACCGGCCAGAGCCAAGCAGGGAGGGGGAAGCCAGGCTGCTGCCGTTCGCCCGAAACCCCTGCTCCAGGACTCGGCTCTGCACGCCCCCGCAAAGGGCCTGGGGCCCTCCTCCCAGACACACTAGGGGTGAGAGGCTGCAAGGGTCACAGCAGGCCCTGAAAGCCTTTGTCGGCACGGCAACGGAGACGCTCCAGGTCCCCTCCCCTTGACGAGGCCTGGCAAGGGCTCAGGAAAGAGCAGGGAATACGTCTGCGTTTCCGTGGGCACATACAGGCACCCATGCGCCAGCACACACGTGCACACCCCAGGCGGAGGCAGGGAGCCTCCTCTGCACCTGGCAGTGGGACCTCCCGCCTGGGAAAGGAAGCCTGCGGGGGTGCCATCAGTCCCTGGGGTCTGGGAGCAGGTAGGGGAGGCTTTGCCTCAGGTGCCCGCACCCCTTCCCCGGGTAGACCACGTCCCTCCCACCTGCCCAGAGGGGAGGACCACAGAGTGGAGGGACAGTGACCCCAGCCCCAGCCAGTACCTACCGGCAGGGTGTCCTGGGAGGACCAGGCTGTTGGCCGGCAGCGCCGGGGGCGGGGGCAGTGTCGGGGGGGCAGCGAACATGGCCGCCGCGTGGTGCTGGTGCTGGGCCTGCGAGCGGAGCGCCAAGTGTGAGGTAGACAGGTGGGGGCCCGGCCCGAGAGGCGACAGGGACGCGTGCTTCGCGAGCCCGAGGCTGGCGCTGCTGCTGGCGCTGCTGCTCCTGCTGCGGGGAGCGGGGTTCAGCGCCCGGGGGCGGGGCGTCCGCGCGGCCCCGCCCCCGCCGCTCGCAGGCCCCGCCCCTCCCCTCCCACCTGAGGCTGTGCAGGCCGTTGTGCGCAGCCTGGCCGTGGCCGGCGAAGGCGCCCAGGGGCAGAGGCACGTGCGTCGGGAGCGGGGCGCGGGGCTGCGGGGGCGCGGGCGGCGGCTGCGGGGTGAGGCAGGGCAGGGCGGGGGCTTCCTTCTTGACCGGCGGGCTGTCCGGGGCGCCTGGCGCGGGGCCGGCAGAGGGCGCGGGGCTGCGCACGGTGGGCAGGAAGGGCGGCTCGGCGCTCAGCTCGCGGCTGCGCTCCAGGCCCGAGACTTTGGGCGGCGCCCCGGCCTTGGCCTCAGCCTCCTCGCCCAGCGTGGGGCCTGCGGAGAGAGGGCCGGAGTGAGCTGGGTCTGACTCAGGGACAGTAGCAGCGAGGTCGAGGCCAGGACTGAGGCCCCCCTCCCCCCACCGCCCAGTCCACAGGGGCCAGCGCTGGAGCCCAGAGAGCCTGCAGCGATTCCACTTTCTGGGAGAGAGGCCAAGTGCAGCGGACTCCGCCCTAGCAGGGCAGTGGCTCCAAACCCGTGGCCTGCGTGGACACGCCCTTCCAGCCACTGCATCCCGCCTTGGCCACACCTTCACCTGTCGCCTTTGCCACGGAGCAACACGTGTGCTGGTGGCCTGCTTTCCTTCTGAAGCCACCCAGGTGACCCACGGCCTGAGCCGTCTTTGGGCCCATGACCTGGCGGGGGAGACTCTCCAGAGGACTGGCCTCGCTGGGAGGTGGTGGGAGGAAGTTGCTGCTCCCCCACCCCGACAACATCCCAGTCGTCATTGTACCCCCCCAACACCCACTGTCCAGGCAGATCCAGCGGACACTGATCCCCTTGGAGTGCTGTGTGCCCACTCTCTGACCTTCCGCCTACTCATCCCAAACCCTCCTGTCCAAGCAGGGTCTGGGCAGCAGGCGCATGTCCAGGCTGGAGGAAGCTTTGTTTGGAGTTTCCCAGGAGTGGGAATCCAGGTTCCTGACTGCGGTCACCCTGTTTGGGCTGCTGGCGGATTTCACTTCCTCCTGGGGCGCATGCTGGCACTTGCCATGCTGAGTGGAGCGAAAAGCCTGCAGCTGCATGGCTGTGGGACGGGGCCGGTGAGACCCAGAGGACTCCGCTGAACCTCTGGGAAGTCTCCTCCCCTGGCAGAAACAGGTGGCAGCAGGAAATGGCTCCTTCTGCCTCCTCTAGGGTGACATTTCCCACTGCAGCCACCAGCCTACATCTGTTTGCTCAGGGACGGAGCTAGTGAGGAGGCCGCTGCACCACCACGAGAACGGGGACTGACGGATCACAGCACCGTCTCTACCCACTTGCTCACAGCTGCCAAGGGGAGCTGGCCTGGCACTCCGACCTCCTTCCTGCCTCTCTTCCATCTTTGTGCCAGCCCCTCTCGAAGGAAGCGCAGCCCCAAGAACAGGAAAAGGCAGGTATAGGCTGGGCAGAGCTGGGTTCCACCAGTGCCCCAGCCCACCTGCAGCGTCTCCCCTCCCTGGGGAAGCAGGAGCACTACCAGTGATCACCCCTGCTGTGACCCTCCCTGGGCACTGCAGAGCCCTGACTGGTTTCCTGAGCTCTGCCTGCACACGTGAGTGGACCGGGCAGTGGGCTGAACTGTGCCAAGAAGCCATGTCTGAACCATAATCCCTAGCACCTGTGAATGTCACCTAATTTGGAAAAAGGGTCTTTGCAGATGTCATCAAGCTAAGAATTTTGAGATGACACCAGTCTGGAACAGGGTGGGCCCTAAACCCAGGGACAGGCATCCTTCTAAGGCAAAAGGCCAGGGGAGGTAGGAGGGACATGGCTGAGTCCAGGAGTGGAAGAGGAAGGAAGGAACCTCCCCAGGAGTTTTTGGAGTGTGGCCTTGCCCACACCTTCAGCTCAGACTTCTGTTCTCCGGACTGTTGAGGGTAAGTGTCCGTCCATTTTTAGCTGCCCAGTTTGTGATTATTGGTTGAAAACACCCTAGTTCTGTGTTCCACTCTGGGTCAATGCCGGCAGAGTGTGCCTCCCTCCCAGGACCTGTCTGGTCTCCCCTACCCTGATTCTGTTGGGTATGTGCATGCTTTGCTGAAATGCTTTGATCTGAGGATGAGGCATCCCCACCTGAATCATGGGGAGACCATGCCCTGTTCCCAAGCCACTGTGGGCCTCCACGTTTCTGTGCTGCAAAGCCTGTTGCGTCCAGTCCCATCTGGATGGAGCCTTCCAAGCGAAAGGGCCCCTTCTCTGTGCTGGGTCCAGGGACCCTGGTAGGCAGGTTGGATGCTGGGAAACTCACCCTCTAGAGCAGTGCTGGCTAAGAGAGCTTTCTGGCACTCTGTGCCTGTGCCACCCCACCCATGTGGGGGCCATGGGCCAGGGGGTGGGGCTGCTGTGCAGGGATCTAGTCCTTTCACGGCAACATTAGCCATGTGTGTAGTGGTGGCCGCGGCAGCCAGCCTACACCGTGGGTGTAGCAGGTGCCAAACCACAGGCTGCCAGTTGTCCCCAGAGCGCCTGACCCCATGAGCCTGGGGAGGGTCTGGGACCATGCCTTGCTACCAGTCCCAGTGAAGGGGCAAGAACCGCACTTTGGGAACCACTGCTCCAGTGCTGACCTTGCTCCTGACTTCTTTCCTTGTAGCTTTTGGTGGGGGCTGAAAATCATAGCACGTAACCACTGCCTCAGGCTCTGCATCCAGAAACCGACCCATGATTGAGCCCAATCTGGAGCCCACTCTCTTGCCCCAAAAGGCTTGCTGTCCCTTCCCACGATGGTTTCTGGAATGAGTCCTATCCTTTCCTAGAGACTAGGAGGTGAGGCCATGGAACATGCTTACCTTTATCGGCTGCTGGGGCAAAGAGCTTCTCGGAGCCCACAGATGCCTGGAAGACAGAGAGGAGGGTCAGAAACCAGAGGGGACGAAGGGCTCAGGGGTGAACTTGGCTCTTACCCTGCCCCCCGGACATAGGTCTGGACGGGTTTTGTGCATGCCAGGGCTGCCCAGCCTGGCAAATGTGTCCTCCTGTGCCCACAGCCGCCACACGGGTGGGCACACAGGTCCCTCAACCCACCATTGGAATCAAGGAGGCTCAACAGAGACGTGGCTGTTCAGTGTGACCCTGCCAGTGGGGGGCTGGGACTTGGGAACTCAGGGGCACCTCGGCAGGACCAGCCCCAGGAACCCAAGGACCCCACTGGGCCCGGTGCTGGAAGATGGAGCAGAGCTTGGGACTGAACAGGTGGTAGGACAGCACCCTCCACAGTTTGGTCCAAATCACACGTCTGGGGACCACGGCTAGAACGAGATGCAGTGTCCACAGCAGAGCGTTCTGCTCTAGGTGGTTCCTCATGGACCCTCCCCCTCACCAGCCTCTCTCCTGGGGAGACGCCCACATGCACACAATATGGTGGGATATCAGGGTGAGGAAGGGGCCCCGCATGGAGGACCCTGCCACAGCTCATAGGAAGGAGCTCCCTGAAACTGCCCTGAGTAGACTTTTTTTTTTTGCTAGTTGATTTTTTCCCCAAGATTTTATTTTTAAGTAATCTCTACACCCAATGTGAGGCTCGAACTCACAACCCCAAAATCAATAGTCCTACGCTCCACCAACCGAGTCAGCCAGGAGCCCCACTAATTGACTTTTTAAAAAAACAGCTTCCTGGGACATCTGGGTGGCTCAGTCGCTTAAGCTGCTGCCTTCAGATCAGGTCATGATCCCAGGGTCCTGGGATCGAGTCCCACATAGGACTCCTTGCTCAGCAGGGAGCTGCTTCTCCCTCTGCCTCTGCCTATCTGCCTGCTTGTACGCATGCTCTCTCTCTCTCTCTCTGACAAATAAACAAACAAAAAAACCCAGTTTCCTTGAGCTTGAACTCATATGCTGCACAATTCACCTGTCAAAGGTGTAAGATTCTGTGGTTTTAGGATCTTTGCAGCTGTGAGCAACTGTCACCTTGGCCAGGCTTAGGACATTTTCATCACCCCAAAATGAAACCATGAGTTCTTCAGCCAGCACGTCCCCTGGCCCTGGGACCACTGCCTCTCATGTGGGCAGAGGTCCTACTGCTGGACTTCTCGGTGGAGAGATGGCCAGTGGCTGGCACGGGGCGGCGGGCAGGAGGCGCACAGCAAACAGCGCAAGGACTCAGCCGCGACCGAAGCCAAACAGTGGCAGGCACCGGCAAGGACACAGAGGAGCCGGGGCCCTCGAGCAATGCTGGCCGCGAGATAAGAGGTGCAGCTGCTGTGGGCAGGGGTCCCGCGGGTCCTCACAGGGCTCAGTGTGGAAATACGTGGAACAGCAATTCCACTCCTGGGCACACGCTCCCCCAGACTGGAAGCTGAGTCTGCAGCCGGTATCTGCGCCGGCAGACCCAGCAGCGCTATTCACGGCAGGCAGGCAGGGGGAGGGGCCTGTGTCCATCGGCGGGTGTAGGAGGAACAGAACCGTCCAGACGGGACAATGCATGCTGCCCGGCCTCAGAGAGGAAGGAAATCCTGACTCCTGCTACCTGGAAGGACCTTGAGGACATGGTGTGCAGCACGAGGCCAGAAGCAGAGGGACAAACACTGGGGGATCCCACTTATTTGACGAGACAGACTCAGAGGAGATGGGGCACCGGGGCTGGGGCAGGGGAGCTGGGTTCAGCAGGGACGGCGTCGCTTTTCCAGGGAAGAGTCCCGGAGGTGGCAGCCACACAGCAGGGCGAATGTGCTTAATGGCTCTTCACGTGCATGCAGAGACGGTCCAGATGCTGAGTTTGTTATGTGGATCTTACACAATAAATACCAAATCGAAAGAAAACACGAGGGAGCTTTCCAGGGCGATGAAAGCATTCTCGGACCGTGGGGGCGGATGTAGTCCTACACGTTGGTCACGGTGCCTCACGCCACACATTTGAAACACGAGTGTCTTACTGAATGGGGCAGTTACGGGGCAGGGGAGTCGGTTACAAGATGCGCTCCCCACCCAGGGGCAGACCGGGCTGTGCATGTCCCAGGCTGGACGCTGCTCATCGGTGGGGAAGTGAACGGTGTGTGATGGGAGCCAGCGGCCAGGAACAGGGGAAGCTGCTCCCTCTGCCGAGTCAGACCGACCCGAGATGTCAAAAACAGAGCCACAGATGCAGGCCTGTTGCTGGGCTACTTCGCAATCACACTGGAATGGGGTCAGTCCTTTCTACTCATGTCCCCAAAGCCAGGACCGGGAAGAAAAGAGGGAGGTAACGCAGCCACCAAACCACAGCCCAGTGCCCCAGGGGCCGGGCTGCAGAAGGGAGGCTCCTCATGCTGAGTGAGTGCAGAGCACTGGTGGATGCTGGGGAAGGAGCCCTGACAGGTAAGCAAGACCCACGGCGGGCCTCAGACACGGGAGGCTCCAGGTGGGGAAGAGGGTTGCACTCCGCTGTCCCCCGTGTCTGACGGAGCGTGGCCACTGGTGCATGGAGGGGCCCTTCCTGCCTGGCCTGCCAGACCGTGGAGGCTGTGTGTCACCTCCTCACTCACTACCAGCTGGGTGGGACACGCTGCACTCCCACACAGGGGCGCCACAGCCGTGACCTCTTCTCTCCCAAGTTCGTTTCCTTGCCAGTTTGTTCTTCCCGGTACATCCTACATGGTGAGTAGTGCTTGTCAGAGCCCCTGAATCCACCACCTCACGCCCGAGCTGGGGGTCCGCAGGGGCAGGGTGGGGCGGGCTGTCAGCCCCGGAGGGGGAGGGGCGCTGCAGCCCAGCCTCCGGTTCCAGACACAGCCAGGCCCCCGGTCTGTCTGCAAAGTGATGATGCCCTGGGACCATGACGAGGACAGCTCATGCCCGTCCGCTCTACAGCAGCACAGCCCTGAATCTGCCTGAAGCGATGGCCACTGCACCCCCACGCCTAATGGCGCATGGGTCACCCCCCCCAAGGGCCGTCCAGGGACCCCAGTCCTTCCTGGATTGGACCCTCACCATGACCCCAGGACCACATGGCGGCGCCCCTGATAGCTCTGTTGTGATCGGCATTACCTGGGCTCATTAACATGCCCACAGATGAATTCCCCACGAAGCCCAGAGTCTCTCTTAAATCCACATCCGAACAGGTCACCCCCGACTCAAGTGCTCCAGTGTCTTCCCAGTGCCCCCAACTGCAGTCTTTCCCCCCCCATCCTGCAAGGCTGCGTGAGGCCCACGTGGCTCCTGACCCTGACCCCTCCCCCACCCCCGTACCAGGGCCCTGGTGCCTGGTGTGAAGGTCTTTTTTTGCTCGGCTGGACGCGCGGGCGCTGCTGCAGATGAGAGGAGCTGTGTGCCCTGCAGCCTCCTCCGAAGAGGTAGCCCCCCGAGGTCTTCATCATCGGATGTGCTGACAGGCCCTCGGTGCCGCAGGGACAGCGCTAACTGCGCGAGCATCCTCGGGGGTCCCCAGCTCAGAGCCGCTGCCAGAGGGCTCCTTATTTCTAGGCAGAGCAAACCATCTGAGCTCAAAACCCCAGCTGCCATCACCATCCAGGAGGGGTCTGGGCTGGTAAAGGGAAGCAGGTGGGGGGTGGTGTCCCCAAGCCCCAACCACATTCAAGCCCCCTGTTCTGGCAGAGGCATTCCCATCTGAACAAGGTGGTATCAGAAAGGAACGCCGAGAAGCAGCACTGAGAAAATTCCTGTGTTCTGTCCAGCACAGCTTCTCCTGGTCCCAGCCTGGGGGATTGGGGTGGCAAGTTCACCTAAGGCCGGGCTGGTTTAGTTCAAAGCCGGGGGCTTGAATAGGGGCCAGGAGGTGGCGCCCCAGGCACTTGGAAATTCAAGGGGTACAGTGGAGGGGGTGGGGGGAAGTGTCTTCACCACTACCCCCCACCCTGGATGCCCCCCTGGCAAAGGCAGGAGGGAAGGCACTTTCCCAGGTCCATGCGGTCCCCTCCACCCCCGGTACCACAGAGGGCCCAAGTTAAAGTTTGCCTGGGGAGGTTGAGGGATCTGAGTCCCTGCAGGGGTCCTGGGAAGGGGCCCAGCAGGTTCCTGGACCACAGTGAGAGGCCTGGACATCTGGCCAGGCGCAGCCATGCCCATCTGGTAAGGTTCTGAACAGACGGGGCAGGCACTGCTTCAGGCGGCTGCCGGGCGGCGACCGCGTGCCAGCCCCTTTCCCAGGGCAAGTGAAGAGGCGCTCCTTCTGGAGGTTGCCCAGGACAGTCCCTCTGCTCATTCTCTTCCAGGGGGAGGGGTCCGGAGCTGGCCAGCTGAACAAGGCGGGTGGGCAGCACCAGGGCAGTCACCAGACCCGTGCAAATAACTTCCCGAAGACCATCTACTGGGATGTGACCCAGGCAGCCACAGCGTCTCTAAACCTGGCACTGAGCCAGCGTGGGAACGGAAGAAAGGGGTCACTCAGGGAGAAAACACAGGTGGGAGGGGCCGGAGCTGCAGGTTCACGGTCTCGTTGGAGAGGGCACGCCCGGTAGGGAGTGTGTCACGACGGAACCTAACTCCCCTGGGGTGCACAATCCCGGCCGCCGGCGGGGCTCAAGGCGCGCTTTGTCTTCGAGGACCGGACCCGCGGGGTAGCCTCCGCTCAGACACGCGGCACAGCCTCCGCCCGCCGCGCCCCGCCCCAGACAAAGAACTCCAACTCCGGGCAGGTGAGCGCGGAGGGCGCCGGGAACCGCGGTGGCCGAGCCCCCGCCGGGGCACAAACAAAAGCGCGCGTCCCCCACGACGCCCGGCCCCGCCTCTGCCGCGGGCCCCCCAGTGCCCCCGCCAAGGCCCGGGACCCTCCGCAGGGATGCACCCCCGCCCGCCGGCCGCCACGTGGGCCGCGCGGACGCAGCTGGAGACACGGGGTCTCCGCGCGCCTGTCTCCCGGGAGAGACGGGGTGGGCAGAGCGCCGGGGGCCTCTCCTGAGCCC